TTTTTTAATTAATTTTAAATTAACATATCTCAAATTATAGCTATAAAAAAATTATAAACATGTATAAATTTTAGGTTAATTTCTTAAACTTAAAAGGCAAGCTCACTATGCTGCGTAGCCCTCCCAATTGACTTGGCAAATATATATATATATATATATATATATATATATTTAGGTTTCTTGTCTCATCTTTTTTAATTAAAAAAAAACATAATAGTATTTTGTAACTATTTCTTATTATATATATATATATATATATATATATATATATTGGAACAGGCAGGTAACCATTTTTAAATTCAAAAAGTAAAATTATATATGAAAATTAAATTTTAAAATAAATATTCATGTTATTATTAACTTTTTAAATATTTATGATGCATTTTATAAGACAAGAATGATAAAATATATATTCTTTTCATTTATGATTTCAAAAAAAAATAGAAACGAAAACAAGAAACTTGTTTTGTTGTTAACAAAATTTCTATACAATTTTGAAAACGTTTTTAAAAAAATGAGAATTAAAAAACATAAATAATTATCAAATGAATTTCTAAATAAAATTAGAAATAAAGAACAAGAAACAAGACGTTACCAAATAAACTCTTCCTTATCTATCCACATTTCTATCAAACAAACCCTCAAACCAAATGTTTCTACTTAATTACTAGTCCCCAAAAGTAGTTATAGAATAAATTATTCACTTAATTTTTTTTTCTCAAAATCATCTCAAACTTGCTTTAAATTATAGGATATGTCCATTCCATATAAAAAAACCAAGAAAAAACCAAAGAATGGGCATGAAACAGGAACCATATCTGACTATTAGTAAAAAATAAAGATCAAAACTGCAAGCCAACATCAACATAACCAGCACTAGCAGTGATTGACACGTACTACTTCTTTTAAGGTTTTGAAGTTAAAATACCCCTACTCCTAATTTGTTGTATTTAAAAAAAAAATCAAAATCAAAACCACAATTTACCATACATATTTTCTTCCCTTGGGAGATCCTGATTTTAAAACTAGAATATGCCAAAATAAAAATAGAAAATAGAAAAGACGAACGCATCTAGAAGAATCGAGACCCCAAAAATAGTTTCGTTCTTGTCCAGTCACAACAAAAATAACTTTTTTCTTCCCAAAATTATATATTAAAAAAAATTAGGGGGAAACTAAAAGAAATGTAAGCCATGCTCAAACTTATTTACAAAGGAACTTTTTAGAAAATATTCCCAAAAAAGAAAAAAAAATTCTACAATGGATTGAACAATGGTTCTCCCATGAACCACCATTTTCCAAAATTCAGCAGCTTCTGTAGCCGGTTTTAGAAGAGACACTTGTGTTTCTCCAACCAAAAATCTAATCTAAGATAAAGAAAAACCCTCCAAGATCATTCTAACAGTACAAAGCCAGGAGCGAGAATGACCGATGCGGTTTGATCCCTCATGACGAAAAGAAGGGCAGATGTCAAAATATCTCATGCCCCATTCACATAAACACACCCCGTAAAAACAATGGACACTTTAGTTTGGGTAATGTCTATGTCGGACACTCGAATACTCCGACGCTCATCGGACATGTCTTGGACACTTGTTGGCTTAATAAATTTGTGTCACACACTAGTTGTACAAAGTGAATATGGATCCAACACTTGTTAGCCATATATCGAACACTCTTTAAACATAAAAAATTGACTTAAGTAGTAATATAACACAATAATAAATTTTAAGAGAAAAAATACATTAAACTCATTTTGTAAGCATAAAAATGCATAAGCTATTGGGTTTGAATTTCCATGATATATACTTAACAAAAAATGGATAATTTAATAAATGTGTCTTTGCCGTGTCCATGTACTAGATTTTTAGAAAATAGACTTTTAGAAAATTACATGTCACCGTATCCGTATCTCGTATGTCCATATATCCATGCTTCTTAGCACACCGCCCTAAGCTACAAGTACCAGATAGATTTGTCTTTGAGACATACTTCAAGACAACACATGGATGAAACAAACAAGCATATAAATATAAAAAGGAGGATGGTAAGACATCAAACCTCCAAGGCTAAGGAGATTACATAAATGTTCTCCCATTGACTGCACAAAAAACCATATAAAACCCTCAAAAGGACTAACAGTAAAGCTTTCCAATCCAAATTGATCAAGGCTAAACTGTAGTTAGAAAAGAATTTCCTATGCTTAGGACACTGAAGACGTATTAACTTGTCCACATTCACAAAAGCCCTCAAAAGGACGAGCAGTGTCATTGAAAACCTGTTGATTTCTTTCCTTCCAAATACACCAAAAAAATAGATCTAGCAACACAATTCCAAAGGATGTTGGTCTTTCGTTTCAAAGACTATCCCTGAAGAACTTCAAAAAGCCACTGTGAGAGTACTCCTAAGGGTATGTTGGGAATATTATTAGTATATGAGTAAAGGGTAATATGATAATTAGTTGGGGGTGAGTTGGTTATAAATAGAGGTAGGAGGATAGAAGGGGATCATATTTTGGGAAATAGTTTATGGTAAAGAACTTAACAAGAGTTCTTTGGGAGAGAGATAGCCTTCTCGAAAAGTTATCAACATTGTAACATCGTTTGATATTGTAATATAGTTATCTTGTTACTTTTCCCTTAATCGGGATCCTAACAGTCACTTATCCACTAACTTGTGGCTTTTCCTTTCAAAAATAGCCCGGAAGAACTTCAAGAAGCCACTCATCCACAAACTTGGGAAAGCAGTCAGAAAAACCGAATTCTCTCGACAAATAAAAACCACATTTTGGAAGCATACAAGCAATGTAAGAAGATGTGGTCAATACTTTCAGCATTATTTAAGCAGAAACAACACACTGAGGAAGATATGCTCCAAGTAGGGAGCTTTTTTTGCAGTTTATCATGAGCATTTAAACTTTTGTAGGCTAGACTCCACAACTAAAACTGACCTTCTTTGGGTAGTTGAAGTTACATATCAAGTTAATAATAGAGGCCTTTAGTTTCAGTGAGGTTTCTGTCAACTTGTTACTTCATTTTTTTTTCCCATCTTCACGGTACTACTACTAGCTTTCCTTTAGCAAGGGCCTGCCCCCAATTACTAATACTCACATTTCCTAACATCACCGGTTGCCTACTACTAACCATTCTAACTGCTCACTATTTTCTGGTCCAGCTTGAGCTTTCTTCTTCCTACTACATGTCCAGCAAATAGGATGCATATCAGACCACAAGAGTTTGATCTTCTACTTGAAAGAGTGATGGAACAGCAATAGCAAGTGATGAAGAAGCTGGTAAGTGGACTGCGGAATGACATACCGAAGACTAATTCATTAAAAGCTGATCAAAACTGAGAAATAAAAGGCCATGGAACAAAGATATGATAGAAGGATTCTTTGATTTGTTTGCAAAGGATGTACCAGTTAGGGTTTATCACCATTTAGGACATAGAACCAGGCTACCAGCTAGGATTTAGTCTTCACTCCTCAATGAGTACAAGTTCTGAGTAATATTATTCCTTTTTCGGGTATTTTCCTTTCCAAATAACTTTCAAATTGAAGAGCTTGTCCCTAGTCATGAGATTAACAAAAGGATTTTCCAAAGAAACCTCCAGTAAGATGAAGAGTCCAAAATCTTCGGCCCCTCGTATAAAGTCAAGTTTAGAGATCAAGATCATCCATTCGGAAGCCCGTGTGACATAAATGTTGTTTCTAAAACACAGGTTCCGACGTCCAACTACATGTGGGCAATATTTCAAGCTAGAAGACTTGCTACCAGATAGCCAAAAAACCCCAGAAAAAGAAACACAGGAAGCCTCCTCACCAATCCATTAGTCCTCTCAAATTCTAACCAAGTTCCTGAAACCTACCTTGCAGGAACATATCTCAATCATCAAACTACGGCTATGGAAAACCATGGGCTACAAGGTATGGAATAGAATCATCTACTTATGCAAGCCATTGGGGATCAGTGCTATATTTATTTATCACAATCTTGCACCAAATATTTTCTTTTCCTTGTTGGCATCTACAGAACCCTTTAACACTTGGACTTTTAAGAAAATCTAAAACGACTGGATGAAAACCTACTGTCAAAGATTTTAAAAAGAAGAATTAAAAGATAATAGCCAAAAGGCTCAAAGCTCCTGATCCTTTTGTTGGGTGTACAAGGATTGAGATTGAGCCTTTAAAAAGGAGGAAGGAAGAGCACACACACCTACAAAAGTTGAAATAAAAAGATCTATCAACAAAGAATAGATGTACTAGCATGATCCTATAAACTACAAAATTAATGGAAGGGTGTCAAAAGAAGCTTCTCTCCTGATCTACCTGCAATATGGTTTTCATTTCCATACCACTCTCCAAATGAAGGTTGGTTAGTGTAGATATGTGACATATATCCTGAAATACATTGTCCAAGGACTATAATGTATCAATCTCATGATCAAGTGTTCGGTGATTTCTTAATCTGAAACCCACATTAGCTCAAAGTGATTGAAATCCAAAATACAGATATTTGATTTCATAGGCAACTTGCAAACAGTCTAAATAAAAGAAGCAATATAAAACAATAGCTTAAGCAGTCCTTGGCCATTACAAACAGAAAACTGAAAGGGGAAATAACTGCAATCATTTGAAAAAATATGAAAGGAAAAGAGAAAGAACTGAGAACATAAGCTACACGACACAATAAACAATCAGCATAACCTAAAATATAATAACATCAGAATCACAAATAAAAATGACTAAAAAAGTTTTGATAAAGAAGATAAAGAGGAAGAAACAAAAACAATGTGATCCCACGCGAACTATTTACTCCCATTCCTTTAAATCCAAACATTACAAAGAGCATCGAATTTGACAATAGCAATGATTTCATTATTTTTACAACTTAAACATTATCAAGTACGTTTTACATGATACAGTTTCAATCAGAATTTGGATAAAAAAATTTTACTTAACAGGGAGTGTAAATTTTCGCCATTACTTATCCAAAACAAAATTAAGATGTTAAGAAGACAAAGTTATCACGATGATCAGTGTCATAGTACATTCAACAAAACCAAATTATTAAATAATCTGTATGCTTAACGCAACATTGGCAACTGAATTGAAACATACCAGAAAGTTAAAATTCTCAATACTTGACATATACGACGTCAAATACCTCCAGAGCTAACAATTGGGGGAAAAAACTGTTATTGAAGCTCCAAAAGAGCCAATTAACACGTAAGGAAACTTATTGAACTACAGAATATCGACAACATCTCATAGTGGCCCATGAATCCAAAACCCCTTTCAACCGAGGAACTAAAATCACAGAAACCCAGTTCCAAAAGATCACAAGAATCACGCAATTCAATCAGATTCAGATGACCCAGATGCAGATATACCCATATTCTCCATCTCGAGGCGTTCGAGGGCTTTCTGGTGAGCCCAAGTCTCAATTGTGAGATCAGGCTTGGCGTTGAGGCCAACGCCAAGAATCACGATGGTAAGAAAACTGGTAATATAACAAGGGAGCTCCCAATCCTCCCATTTACGGGACTGGCCTGGTGGAGGCGGCGTCCGATTGAAAAGATAACCCTTGGGGCGCTCCTCGTGGCCGGGGCTAGTCCATCGGCTCTGGCCGGCGGCGGCGCCACCGCGGGTCCGCAGAGTGGGGAGAAGGCGGTGCCGGAGCATGTTGGAGGCGCGTGTAAATGGCGCTGGCGACGGCATATTGATTCCCTTTTGATCTTTCGATTCGCGACTCTGTGAGCGATCCAGCGAAAGCGAAACAGAGAGAGAGATTTCTCAGTTCTATGCGGAGACCTTGTGGTCTAAGGGCCAGTGAAACGTCGTCGTTTTTAATGCCTGATTTTAGCATACGAAATTGTTTTTAGGTTAAATATATGATTTATTTTGTAGATGTTTGGGTATCTAGTTTAAAAATTTGTACAAAATAGATTTTTGGTCCCTAAGTTTGAAGGTAAGTTCTATTTAGTCCTTAAGTTTCAAAAAGTGACACTTTAGTCCATGACCTTTAAAAAATGGTTCTAAAAGGTTTCTATAGTTAACCTTCCGTGCTGACGTGACATCGATGAGTTTGATATATATTAATTTTATATTATTTTTAATTATGTGTCTTTTTTTTCATTTTTTTCGTTTTCTCTCTCTTCTCCCACTCATCCCCTATTCTACCCCTATCGTTTAGACTCTTCAACCTTCTTATTCCGATGCTCTCTTCCCCTCTATCTCTCTTTTTCTCTTTACGGAAGAATATGAAAGAATCTTTATCAGAGGGCCATTAGAGGTGCTTGAGGGACAACGAAACCGAGGGCGTTTGGTTCTTCAGATCTACCCTTCTTGTGAATGAGACGGGGACGAAGACGAGGCCACTGCAATGCGAGTGTTGGTGTGGCTTGTTAGGAGTGCAAGTCAATAGGTCAACAACCAACTCCATAATCTTCTCAAAGTCAAGTGATGGTTAATATTTGTGTAACTAATGCAATACAAAATCTCCTATTAGTTTTATTTTCTAAATTTAGTTCTCTCACCCCTCTATTTAAATGTGAGAACTTCACTGTTCATTCAAACATAAATTAAATAAAAAACTCCTTACTTTTTTTTGTGTTAATTGTTTTCTTAACTTGGTATCAGAGTACGTCGTGACCATCTCCAACTTACCCACTCCAACTGTGACTCCACCAGCAGTAGTGAGTGGCGTCATCTTCACCAATTAAAATAGATAGAGGGAACTTCCTACTGTGACAAAATTTGGTCTTATCGATCCTGCAAAGCTACAAGCTATTTGACTACCTTACGGGAGACAAGTCATGCCCTCTCATGCATCTTGTTCCAACAGACACACCTAATAATGTAGAAGGCAGCACCTCATCGCAATCTTCCCTGATTTTAAACCCCGCATATGAGGCATGTATCAAAGTAGATCAACTACTCTTGGGTTGGCTTTACAACTCGATGACAGCAGACGTAGGCATGCAAGTTATGGGTTTTTGCACCTCGCGCGAACTTTGGGCAGCAGTTCAAGAACTTTTTGGCGTCCAATCTAGAGTGGAAGTAGACTACCTAAAACAGGTATTTCAACAAACCCACAAGGGGTTGTTACAAATGATTGAATATTTAAAACTTATGAAAAGTCATGTTTAGCAAGTAGTCCAGTCTCTGTTTGAGACTTGGTTTCACAAGTATTGACAGGCTTAGATGAAGAGTACAATCTCATCATGGTCGCCGTTCAAGGCAAAGTAAATCTGTCATGGTCAGAAATGCACGCGGAGCTTCTAACATATGAGAAACGATTGGAATACCAAACCTCCTTCAAAAGTGGTGTCCCGATCAACCTGACTCAAACACTGTCAGTGAGCTATGTTGATGGACGAAACTTCCAAACCAACCAGCGAACCAATAATGTAAACAATAGTCATGGATCAAATACTCATCGTGGTGGTGGTTATCCACGGGGAAGTTTTGGTCAACAGAATCGTGCTAGATGTCGATGGGGAGGTAATAACAGCAACAATGGAAGTAGTGGAAATAGGCCCATATGCCAGGTATGTAATTGGATAGGACATATAGCTACAGTTTGTCACTATTGTTTTGATCAAAACACACGACCTCAACCCACCCAACACAAAAATTTTACCCCTTAAATTCTGGACCAAATGTGTTTGCTGCCCATCACACTTCTACCATGGTCACAACCCCTGAGATTGTCATTGATCCTAGTTGGTATGCCAACAGTGGAGCTACAAGTAATAATGTGATAGCCAACCCGAACAATGTTGAGCAAAGAGTTGATTACTGAAGTAACGAAAATGTAATTGTTGCAAATGGCAGTAAGTTATCTATCTCTCACATTGCTAGCACTAATCTCCATGTCTCGAGCAGTTCTTTAAAATTGAAAGATGTTCTATGTGTTCCTGATATAGCTAAAAGCCTTGTTAGTGTCTCATGACTAGCTAAAGATATTGACATCTTTGTCGAATTCCATAAACACAAAAACAAATCTACGAGATGTTTTACGTCAAGCAATATGTGGAGTAACTCTCGATATAGCAGTAAAGGCAAGACGTATAGGCATATCAACTCATCAAGTACCCATTGAAATAGGATCCACACACACAAGGAAAAGCACTTGTCATTCGTTGGTTATTAGGGACATCTTGTAAACGTCCGAGTCGAAATATGACTTTCAAATTCAATTTCGAGCTTGACTGAAAGGGAAAGGGTAGGGGTTGGAAAATGGGATTCTGGTGAAAGCGCTAGAAAGAGGAAAGAAACGGCGAGAGACTTCCCAAGAGTGTCTAATCCACCACGCGTTGCCCACCCAGGCGCAACACTAAGTAATCCAAGTCGATCTACATTTCTCACTAAGGATGGATAATCATATTTCTTAGAAGTACTAAATATAACTCCCTAGCAAAATCATTGATGTGATATATTTAGTCTTTTTAAATTTATTAATCAATTATATAGTCGATCAAAAATATATATATCAATTATATAGTTTATCATCATCTTTGTATTAAAGGGTGAGATAGTTGAAAATTATTTGTAGACTTAACTTCATTTATATAATTTAGAAATTCTAAACTTGCGCCCAGTAATGCTAGTTTATACTTGAATTATTACATTAATTTTATTAAAATTAAAATAATGATATTTATGTTTCACAACCTAAGAATTTATGCTCATACTCAAGTATAACTAATTTATTATTTATACTCATAGTCAATTATAATGTTTTTATAACACAAAAAACTAGTTATTTTAATTATAAAAAATATATATAATTGGGTCCAAGAGACCTGCCAAGTTATTAAGAATCTGTTTCGTAAAGACCCATTTTTTCCTTTTCTTATTTCTCTTTCTCTTTTTTAATAAACAAGAATAGAATTTCATGATCCCAACATTCATGGATTATGATTCAAGAATGATAAAAAAATACTTTAATTTTATTTATATTTTGGAATAAATTAGAAAGGGAAATAAGAAACAGTAAATTTGTTTGTATTGTTCCGAAAAAACCTATAAAAATTTGAGAATATTTTTATAAAATAAGAAACAAGAAACTTAAATAGTTAAAAAAAAGCTTAAGTTTGTTCCTTTGTTTTTGTTTTGTTTTTTTTTCATTTGTAATAAATAAAAGTAGAATTATTTTTTTAGTACAATAGAAATAGAATTGCACTTGACAACTCTGTTTATTGCTTTTTGTTCTTTTCTTTTGTTATTGAAAAAAGAAACATAACCATGTCTTGTTTCTTTTAATCTAAAATTTTAAATTAAAAAAAATTTCATATGAAATTAAATATTAACTTTTGTATGTTATATATCCTTTTAATATTTATCATGCAAGAAGGATAAATAACCATATGTTTTGAAAAAACCTAAAAAATTGGAAAAAGAAACAAAAAATTGATTTTGTTGTTTCCAAAATTTCGAAAACATTTTTTTATAAATGAGAAACTAGAAACAAATATAGTTACCAATGCTTCTATTTCTAAAAACCAAAAAAACAAGAAACAGAAAATAAGACCATTAACAAATGGGACCTAAATTTTCAACGTCAAATTTTGGATAATGAATCTTGGAAGGTACCTCCAAACATCCCAACCCTGATCTCAAGTCAACTCATTATGGTCGGTGTGGAACAAGGCGTGTAATATTAACTCCATAGACCAATTCATTGATCATAAGGACTAATCAACTCTCGATAAGAGATTTTGACTCGTAAGCTTATTTACAATGTGTGAGATACATTGCTTAAAAGAGAGGACATCTCAAAACATCAATTTTGGGGACAATTATTGGGAGATATAGAATTTTCTATTATGTACAATACATTAGCTTGTTATCTTGGTAGTTAGATAAATCAGGAGATGTAGAGTTTCTGTTATATTGTTATCTAATACTCCAACATGTCCTATTTGTTCCGCAAACTTGTTATCCATCAGTGCTCTCACAACGGATGCATCTATTTTTGTCCAATTTCATACTAATTACTGTGAAATTCAGGAAAGGTCCACTTTGAGGACGATTGGCAAGGGTAAACCTCAGGATGGTCTATATTTGCTCCAGCCGTTTGCTGATATTGTTGCTGTACAGCGTCCCAAGACTGTTTTTGCTGCTATTTCTCGAAATTTGTCTGCACTTTGGCATGCCARGCTTGGTCACTTATCCCATAACCATTTGTCTGCTTTAAAATCAGTCATACATTTTGATAATTCCAAATTTGAGCATACCCAACCTTGTGATATATGCCCTCTTGCAAAACAGAGGAAGTTATCTTTTATTTCTCATAATAACCTGTCAAAAGATGCTTTTGATTTGATTCATGCTGATCTTTGGGATCCTTTTGCTATCTCCTCTCATGCCGGTTATAAATATTTTCTTACGATTGTCGATGATTGTACTCGTTATACTTGGGTTTACATGCTAAGGAGGAAGTCTGACGTATTGACTATTATCTCTCAATTTTTCAAGCTTGTTGAGACTCAGTTTAATAAATGAATTACAGTTTTCCGTTCTGATAATGCTCTTGAGTTAATTTTTGAGGATTTCTTTCGAGAAAAAGGTGTCATTCATCAGTTTGCATGTGTTGCTAGGCCTGAACAAAATTCTGTGGTTGAGAGAAAACATCAACATATCTTAAATGTTGCTCGTGCCCTATATTTTCAGTCTCGGGTTCCTCTTTCTTTTTGGAGTGAATTATTCTCACTGCTGTGTTTCTTCTCAATCGGACTCCATCTCGTTTGTTGAATTGGCGCACACCTTTTATGTTGTTAACTGGTTCAATGGCTGATTATTCTACTATGAGAGTTTT